CTCAACTTGATTAGCGTTTAGGGTTTAGGGTTTAGGGTTTAAGGGTTTAGGGTTTAGGGTTTAAGGGTTTAGAGTTTAGGGTTTAAGGGTTTAGGGTTTAGGGTTTGCCTGCCTTCGCTGCAGCAATGAGGTCCGCGTGCTGCTGAGCCACGGGGGCAACTGCCACAGTAGCAGCGCAGTCTCCTGGAAGCAAATAGGGAAAAAAAGAATTAAAAATATGAAAAAGAATTATAAAAATAAATTAAAATAAAAAAGAAATAAAAAATAAAAAGAAAAGATCGCAGGAGTAAGGCTCCGGCTGATTCAGGTGTATGGACAGCTGCGCGCATGCAGTCGGAAAGCTCTTCAACTTTTCTTCCATTTTTTCATTTTTTGGATTTTTTGTTCATTTAATTGAACAATAAAGGTAAAATAAAGTAAAATAATTAATTAAATTAATAATTAATCAAAAATAAAAGCTTTTTCTCTTCACCAAAGAACAAACACTCCCTGGGAGCCTCCCTGGTGTCTGTACACCTCAATAGCCTTCAATTTGAAATCTTCAAACATGAAAAACGCGCTTTCAATTCCGCCAAATAAATAATAAATAATAGACCAATTAATTAATTAATTAATTAATTAATTAATTAATTAATTAATTAATTAATTAATTAATTAATTAATTAATTGAATAATTAATTAATTAATTAATTAATTAATTAATTAATTGTCTGCAGATGCAGGGGGCTTGAGACGCGGCAAATTGAATTCCTTTTTGAATATTTTTTGCAAATTAAAAGACAAACGGCTTTAATAAAACGAATAAAGCATTTACTTCATTTAATAATTAATTATTTAATATTTAATTTATTAAACATTTAATTTAATTTAATTTCAAATCTGCCAGACTCACCAAAAAAGCCGTTTAGAAAAGCCGTGCAGTCTATAGAGACAATATCCCCTTCTTGCAGAGGGCGCACGTCGGGAATGCCGTGGCAGGCAACTGCAGCAAACCCTAATTTAGGGTTTAGGGTTTAGGGTCTAGGGTGTGCGGGTTAGGGGGTGGGTTTTGGGGCTTCGCAGCAGCAGCAGCAGCAGCAGCAGCAGCAGCAGCTACAGTCCAGGCTCCGACAGAGGAGAGGGAAGCAAATAAATAAACAAATAAATAAATAAACAAATAAATAAATTAATTAATTAATTAATTAAAATAAATAAAAGAAAGAATTAATTAAATACCTTCATTGACGGAGAAGCAAAGCGCCTTGGGAAAACCAAAGAAATTAATTGCTGCTGGATAAGCCCCTTTAGAAATTAAAAACTTGTGCACCAAAGAATCAATCTCTTCCGCAGTAACACCTGCAGCAGCAGCAGCAGTAGCAGCAGCAGCAGCAGCAGCAGCAGCAGCAGCAGCAGCAGCGGGAGTTCAACGGGCGAGCGGAAAAGAAGGCAAAAGGGCCTCAATAAACAGCCAGAAGAAAATAAAAACAGAATAAAATAAAACAAAAACAATTAAAACAATTAAATGAAATTAAAATGAAAAAAGAAAAAGATAAAAGTGCTGCAGCAAAAGCCCCACCCGGCTTGCAGCTGCTGACAGCCAGCTGCAGCGCGTCAGCAGCAGCAGCAGCAGCAGCTCGCAAGCCTTCGATGGCTGCGGGCTTTTGGACTTCTCCATTTGGGTCTATTTGCCATCCCGGGGGGTCCCAATAGACAGCACTTCCCGCTGCTGCTGCTGCTGCTGCTGCTGCTGCTGCTGCAGCTGCAGCAGCAGCAGCAGCAGCAGCAGGGGGCGCAGGCCGCCCGTCTGCTGCTACAGCGTAGGGCGGCCGCGGCACCCACGGGGGGACTTCTTGGGCCGGCAGCACTGCGAATTCTCCTGCAGCAAATAAATAAATAAATAAATAAATAAATAAATAAATAAATAAATAATAACAAATAATAAATAATAAATAATAAATAATAATAATAATAAATAAATAAATAAATAAATAAAATAAATAAATAAATAAATATCGACAGGCCTCGGGAAATGCAGGCGAACTTGTGCAGCAGCAAAAGGGGAAAATAAGTAAATGAAATAAATAAATAAAAGACAAAAAAGGATTTTGATTATAATAAAAAAGGAAATAATAAAATAAATAAATGAATTAATTTAAAAGAACTTAAATTAAAAATAAATAAATGAATTAATTGAAAAAGAATTTAAATAAAAATAAATAAATGAATTAATTGAAAAAGAATTTAAATGGCTTTTGACCTTCTCTTAAAGTCCTTTTGAACTTCTTTTCCTGCGGCCTCAACGCGGAGCGGCTGAGCAGCGGAGAAGGCAGCTGCAGCTGCTGCTGCTGCTGCTGCTGCTGCAGTTTCCGGTCATTTCCCGGTTTATTTTCTTCGAACTTTTGGCTTTTTGAGTCTCCTTGAAGTCCCCTTTGCTCCCCAGGGGCTCCTTTTGAAGAAGGAAGAACAAAAGAAGTGAAAGCGCGAGGCCGAGACGAGCTCAACGTACACCCCAAGCGCGACACAGCTGTACGTACACCCCAAAAGCCCGGCTTCCCGAACAACGGCGGAGCCGCCATTCCCACAATTGCGTTTTTCAGCGGCAAAAGAAGATAAATAAGTTGAAAATAAATCAAATAAATCAAAGAGTTGTTCAAAGATTTGTTAATTCTGTTGCTGCAGCGACGGAGGCGCCGGAAGATCCACCGAGAGGGTGCCGCGAGCTGTAGATACACCTGGCGGGACTCGCGCGCGATCAGTCGGAAAGCTCCTTCATTAAAAGACAAAAGCCAAATAAAAGAAACATTTCAGTGAAGTTTTATAATTTAATTTAAAAACAAAAATGAATTTCCGCTTTGGAAGCGGTTGGGGAGAGGAGGGCGGCGCCGTTGAGGTGTACAGACAGCTCGAGTGTTCGGCTCCGCCGCCAAGTGGATTCCATTCGCTGAATTTCCTTCAGAATTTAATTATTTGAATTGATTTAAATAAATTAATTCAAATAATTAAATCCATTTGGCCAATTTTGCCAAATAAAAACCAATCCGGCAGCAGCAACCAGCGCCCAGGGCTGCAGCACGCGCAGCTGCGGCGTCGATACACCCCAAACCAGCAGCTTCCACCGACAAAACAAAATAATAATAACTTTAAATTACTTTTAATTAAAATTAAAAGTAAAATAATGAATAAACCCGCCATTTCAGCCCCATGGGCAGCGCAGCATCTCAGGACCCCACGGGGCCCCCAGAGGCCGCAGGGGGCCCCCCGGGGGACCCCCGGGGCCCCCCGGGGGCCCCCTGGGGGGCCCCCAAGTTCTATTGTTGTCTTTGGGCTGCATTAATGAGTTTAAGATTAAAATTGAATTAAATTTGGTTTTATTATTTTTGTTTATATCTTTTTAATTTGTTTTTCGCCCTGTGTGGCCTGGGCACCAAAGGTGGCTGCGGGCTGCAGCAAATAAAGCATTAAATGCAATTTAATTTGCTGCTTTAATTTAAATTTATTTTTAAATTTAATTTATTTAAGTTCTATTTCTCCAGCTGCAGCAGCAGAAATGCTCTAATCTATTGCCCCCTGGCCGTTGCTGCGTCACTGCTGCTGCTGCTGCTGCTGCTGCTGCTGCTGTTGTTGTTGTTCTTGCTGCTGCTGCTGCTGCTGCTGCTGCTGCTGCTGCTGCTGGGGGAATGTCCCTGGGGCAGTTCACGCTGCAGCAAGGAGGTGTCTGTACACCTGGAGTTATCACAAGTTTGCAGAACGGAGCTTTCATTTCATTTCATTTCTTTTTAATTTTAATTTGAAATGAAGAGAATAAGCCTCTGTCTCGGCCTCCTCCTCTACTTGCTGCTGCTCCCCAAAGCAGCAGCAGCAGCAGCAACAGCAGCAGCAGCAGATGATGAGGCCGCAGGGGATTCTTTTCCCCCTGGTGGGTGCTTTGCCTGCGGCAATTAATTCTTTTTGTTGCATTTAGTTATTAATGGGATAAATAGGAAATAAAAGAATAAATAAATAAAAACAAATGGCAAAAGAAGTGCAGCAAAGAAGGAGCAAAACGGGCTGCTGCTGCTGCGCTGCGGTGTCCGTACAGCCCGCTGCCAGCTGCAGCAGCTGCAGCAGCAGCAGCAGCAGCAGCAGCAGTGGTTCCCGCGGGACTACTTTGCTGCAGAAGCTGCTGCTGCTGCTGCAAACTTCCGAGAAGACTTCGCGTTTGTGGAGAGAAGTTTTGCTGCTCGCTTTGCTGCTGCTGCTGCGAGCGGCGCCGCTGCGGTGTACGTACACTCCGTGGCCGCAGCCAGCAGCGCCCCCGCACAAGACAAACTCGGCCGCGAAGTTTTTCAAAACAAAAAAAGAAATTTTAATTCCAAAGAATGGATTAAAATAATTCGAGTTGCCAATTTGCTCTTTTCCGTTTTCCTCGCGGTGAGCCAGCCGCTTTCAGGTGTATAGGCAGCTCGGGTGTACACGCAGCTCGGGTGTACAGGCAGCTCGGGTGTACAGGCAGCTCGGGTGTATAGGCAGCTCGAAGCGAGCAGCAGTTTCTGCTGCTGTTTTGACAATTAAAACTAATTTTAATTTGCAAATAATTCCACATTTAGTCCCGCACATTTAGCTGAACTCACGGAAGCGCTGCTGCTGCTGGCTGCGCACGAACTCGCGCTTGCGTTAGTGTGTGGCTTGCGTGGGGTGCTGCAGCAGCAGCAAGCAGAGAAAGTGCTGCTGGTAGTGGACCTCACGGCGGACTCGGAAATTGTTGCTGCTGCTTTTGCTGCTGCTCAGCAGCAGCAAACTGCTGCTGCAGTTCTCACTTGGGCTGCGCAGCCCCAGGTGTACGTGGAGCTCAACTGGCTTCTTTCCCGAGTTGAGCAGCTGCTGCTGCTTGCTGCTCCGCTGCTGCTCGCCGACCATTTGCTGCTGCTGCAGTGGCTGCTCAGCCAGGCAGCAGCAATAGCTCGGGACCAAATCCACAGGGAGCAGCAGCAGCAGCAGCAGCAACAACAACAGCAGCAGCAGCAACAGCAGCAGCAGCAGCAGCAGCAGCCTGCGCGCTTACAAGAAGCGCTCAATCAACTGCCCGTCATTCAGCGGCTGGTGGCAGCAGCAGCAGCTTGCAGAGCTGACGAAGCAGCAGCAGCAGCAGCAGCAGCAGCAGCAGCAGCAAGACCGCAAGCGTCAGCAGCAGCAAAAGCCGCAGAAATCGCAGCAGCAGCAGCAGCAGCAGCAGCAACGGACCCCCCGGACTGCTCCTCAGTGCTAGCTGCTGCTGCTTCTTTGCGCGAGCAGCTGCAGCAGCAGCAAAAAGCCCTGGGGGCCCCCCAGCTGCTGCTGAGTGCTGCAGCAGATGTTTTTTATTTGGCAGCTTTTATAAATCCCCAAAATATTCCTTTTCCCTTTATGGCAGCAGCAGCAGAGCCCTCGCTGCAGCAGCAGCAGCTCCGCAGCTTCCTCCGCCGCTGCTTGCCCTTCGCCTTTCAAACGAAGCAGATCAAATACGCTGCTGCTGCTGCTGCTGCTGCTCCTGCTGCTGCTGCTGCTGCTGCTGCTGCTGCTGCTGCTGCTGCTAAGGGGGAGGGGCCCCCCAGGCCCAGCAGGCTAAAGGCAGACAGCGATTTGCTGCGGCGCTGAGGCCCCTGAGCTTTTAATTTTAATTTTAATTTTATTTTTATTTTTAATTTTTAATTTTAATTATTTTAATTTTAATTTCATTTTTATTTACTTTTAAATCTGCAGCCAGTCCTTCCCTATGTTAAGCCTCCAGCAGGACAGCCTTGCAGCGGCAGCAGCAGCTGCTGCTGCTGCCTCGCTCCTGCTGCTTCTGTTGCTGCTGCTGCTCCTGTTGTTGCTGCTGCTGCTGTTCCTGCTTCTGCTGCTGCTGCTGCTGCCGTTGCTGCTGCTCTTGCTGCTGCTGCTGCTGCTGTTGCTGCCATGCTGCTGGTGCCGTTTCGGGGGTTTGTTTCCAACAGCATCCCCGGTCCTAAACCCTAAACCCTAGCCCTAAACCCTAAACCCTAAACCCTAAACCCTAGAGTCTTGGTGCTGCCCAATTTTTTTCTAGCAGAAGAGGAGCAGCAAAACCCTAAACCCCAAAAGGACTGAAGTTCAGCTCAAGGCTGCTGCTGCTGCCCCGCAGACGCACTCACTGCAAACTTATCTGCAGAAAATGCATGTTTTTGCTGCTGCTGCTGCTGCTGCTGCTGCAGCAGCAGCAGCTGCCGTAGCTGTGGCAGTGGCCACCGCAGCAGCCTCGATGCAGCTGCTGCTGAACGTGCTGCAGCAGCAGAAGCTGCAGCAGCAGAAGCTGCAGCAGCAGAAGCTGCAGCAGCAGAAGCTGCAGCAGCAGCAGCTGCTGGAAAGACCATCAGGCCTTCTACTTCAGGGCGCAAACAAACTGACCAGTGGACCACTGGGGGCTGCTGGCTGCTGCGGCTGCCCCCAGCAGCAGCAGCAGCAGAAGGCAGCACAAGTAGCTGCAGCAGCAGCAGCAGCTGCAGCAACAGAAGCAGCTGCTGCAGCAGAAGCAGCTGCAGCAACAGCTGCAGCAGAAGAAGCAGCGGCAGCTGCTGCTGAAGGGCGAGACTCTCTCAGGCATTACAGAACAACAGCCGCCGCTGCTCTTGCTGCTGCTGCTGCTGCTGCTGTTGCTGCTGCTGCAGCAGCAGCAGCAATTTAAATCGGGTTTGTCTCTCCCCAAATGGATCCTCCCATACATACGAGTGTTTCCGGAAATGCAAGTGTTTATTATTTATTTATTAATTGTATTTATTTATTTCATTTATTTGTTTGTTTTATTAATTTTATTTATTTATTTATTTTTGTCATTTATTATTATCTCTTATTTACTTCTCCCATTCATTTGCTGCTGATTTGTTATCATTCTTATCACCAATATATATTATTGTCATTCATTTATTTTTATTTATTTATTTGAATTAATTAATTTATTTAATCATTTAATAATTTATTAATTTGATTATTTATTTATTTATTAGAAGTCCTTTTTCTTATACATGGTTGTGTCTTTGGCAGATAAATTCATTTAAACGAAATAATTAAAAAGACACTTTTGCTGATGAATTAAATGCAAATAAAGACACTTTTAATTTTATTTATTTGATATAAATTAAGACATTTTATTTATTTTTATTTTCATTTTACTTTTCATAATACTTCCCAGTGCTGCTGCAGGCAAGCCGGGGGCTGCTGCCTTCGTGTCGCTTTGCTGCAGCAGCAGCAGCAGCAGCAGCAAAACGCACGGAATGCTGCTGCTGCTGCTGCATCAGCCAAGCGGAGCAACCGCTGCTGCTGCAGCAGCAGCACCAGCAGCAAAGCGAAGCAACCGCTGCTGCTGCTGCTGCTGCAGCGAAGCGGAGCAAATGCTGTTTTTGCTGCTGCAGCGAAGCGAAGCAAACGCTCCTGCTGCTGCTGCTGCAGCGAAGCAAATACTGCTGCTGCTGCTGCTGCTGCTGCTGGTTTATAAGATGCGTTTGTCGGAGACAAGCCCCACAATATAGCGGGCATGAAATGCTGCTGTTGCCACCAGCATCAAAAACTCCACACAATTCAACCAAGACAGCCGCTGCAGGAAACTCTGCGCAGTTTCGTTCAGAGACCGCTGCCGAATCCACAGGTAAGAAGACTCCGCCTGCAGCAGCAGCAGCAGCAGCAGCAGCAGTAAGGAGCAGCGGCAGCGCGAAGCAACAGCAGAGGCGGCAGGGAGAGGCAGCAGCAGCAGCAGCAGCAGTGGTAAGGGGCAGCGGCAGTGCGAAGCAGCAGCAGAGGCGGCAGGGAGAGGCAGCAGCAGCAGCAGCAATCAGAGGCAGCAGCAGTGCAATGCAGCAGCGGAAGCGGCAGTGAGAGGCAGCAGCAGTACAAGCCAGCAGCAGCAGCAGCAGCAGCAGAGGCAGCAGCAGGACAAGGCAGCAGCAGCAACAGCAGCAGCAGCAGCAGCAGCAGCAGCAGCACGTTTTCAACGCCGTTTCTCCGGCTTTTTCCGCTCGTTTCCGGTTTTTTGGCGGAACAAATGCGGAAATAAAAAGAAGAACAAAATAAACGGAAAACAACTCAAAAAAGAATTAATTAATTAATTAATTAATTAATTAATTAATTAATTAATTAATTACCTGAATGTCCTTCAACTGCCGCTCGAGCTGCGCCACCATTTCCTCCGCGTTGTTCAAATGCTTCGGCAGCAGCGCCGTTTCGGCGCCGCGGCCAATTGCAAAAGTCACAGTTTTCGACTCCATCCACCTAAAAAGTGGCGGAAAAAGCGGAATTGAGAAGAAAAGAATCAAATTAATTAAAAAAGAATTAAATTAATTTAAAAAATGAATTAAATTAATTAAAAAAAGAATTAAATTAATTTAAATGAGAAAAAACGAACGTTTTATTCGAAAAAACGAAAAAAAACGACCAAAATTGACCACTGGTCCACTGGGCCGCCGTTCAAGGCGCAAACAACGAAATAAATGCAAGACAAAATTTGAACTCAAATAAATCAAATAACAAATAAATTAAATAAATTAAAATAAATTTAAAAAATAAATTAAATAAAATAATAAAAGAAATAAATTTAAATTAATATGATTTAAATTCAAAAAATGGCAATTTCAAAGACCCAACATGCAGCAAAAACGAAAAAATAAAAGCCCACAAGAGGCCCTTTTGGCATTTTTTGATTTTAATTTAATTCAAAAAAAGAATTTAAATTCTTTTAATTTATTTCAAATTAATTTGCTTTTATTTGCATTTGCTGCTGCTGCACTTGCTGCACTGCAGCGGCTTTTGCTGCTGCTTTCGCCAGCTGCAGACTCTTCCTGCTGCTCTCTTGCTGCTGTTTTGCTGCTGCTTTGCTGCTGCTTTTTGCTGCTGCTTTGCTGCTGCTTTGCTGCTGCTTTTTGCTGCTGCTTTGCTGCTGCTTTGCTGCTGCTTTGCTGCTGCTGCTGCTGCTAGCAGCAGCAGCTTGCTGCAGCAAAACATTCAAAAAAACTTGCCTGTGGTTGGACAAAATGAAAGAATAAGTTCCTTTCTTCTTCGCCGTGAAGTAAAACAAACCTTCCGAGCGGCTCTTCTTGTATATCAAGTCCCCTGAAACGCACACCCCCACCTGCTGCTGCTGCTGCTGCAGCTGCTGCTGCTGCAGCTGCTGCAGCAGCTGCTGCAGCAGCAACCTGGTGCTTGGGGAAGCAAAGATAGAAATAAATAAAAATAAACAAAAACAAAAGATGAGCAAAACGTCAAAGACCGGAGAGTCCCTGGAATGATACATTGAATCAACAGCAGCAGCAGCAGCAGCAACAGCAGCAGCAGCAGCAGCAGCAACAGCAGCAGCAAACTCACGAGCATCTCTGGAATGAAATTTTGCATGTGCTTCTCCCACTCCTCCATTAGGCTGGCTGTTTGGCTGTCAGCTCCATCAGCCATCTGAGAATAAAATAAAATAAAAATAATAAATAAATAAATAAATAAATAAATAAATAAATAAATAATAAAAACTAAAGTAAGGTAGGTGCTGCTGCTGCGCTGCAGCGCAGCAGCAGCTAAAACGCCAGCATCTGAGCCACAGCAACAGCACCCCTGGCTCTTCCCCAGCAGCTCTGCTGCTGCTGCTGCTACTTCTGCTGCTGCTGCTGCTGCTACTACTTCTGCCGTTTCTGCTGCTGCTGCTTCTACTACTATTACTACTACTACTACTATTGCTGCTGCTGCTACTTCTGCTGCTACTGCTGCTGCTGCTGCTGCTGCTGCTGCTGCTGGCTTACGGCTCCCTCCTCGACTCTCCTTGGCTGATACTCTGGGGCCATTTCGTCTATGGGCTGCACCACAGGGTCTGCGTATGCAGCAGCAGCAGCAGCAGCAGCAGCAGCAGCATCAGTTTGTTTTTGTTTTTGTCTCTTTTCTTTTTGCTTCTTTTCCTTTTTGCCGCTGCCCGGCTGCTGCTGCTCCACGCGCGTCGGCTGCTGCCGCTCCTGGCTGGGCTGCTGCCTCTTCGCCTGCTGCTGCTGCTGCTGCTGCTGCTGCTGCTGCTGCGGCGCTC